GCAAGCACCCAGCAACATCCACACCTCCTTGCTGCCTGTGTGTTACTTGTGACACAAAAACTCTAGTGAGAAGGTAGAGCTGGCAGGGTCAGGAAACACCACGTGCTACCATGTTTATCACACTGCCCAGTTGGGTAGCAGAATTGGAAGGGGCACACTTCTGAGTTACCTGGGGCATAGCACCCATATGGGCCTGATTTTCAGAGGGTCTAAATCTTGAGGGTAGTGGTTCTCAGTCAGGCCTATGAACTGGAATCCCCCAGAGAACCGCTTAGACTGTGGCTGTACTTCACATCCAGATTCAGAATGAACGGCCTCGACACCGAAAGCCTTTTAAAGTGCTATGTGGTTCTAATACGCAGCCACAGATAAATGTCATGAAGAAATTTAAAACGCCTTTCCTTTTGACATGGTATTTATAAACCCATGATTTAAGACCACCAGCTTAGCGTTTCAGTATTAATGTTAAAAATTAATCCTACATATCATTCTTCTATTACTCGTAGAAGCAGTAATAATCTAAAGGATCTTTTGGTTATAGTTTTTAACAGGAACTGACAGGATTTAATTCTCTAGATGAACTCACTACTTTCTGTACATCTATCTCACCACTGTATTATGTGAACAGACATACTAGAATGATGTTTCTAATTTTGGTGATTCATAAAAGCCTACATCTACATAGACTGTTACAGATATGCATGATGGACATTCCACAGAAGTGTCTGGACTCCTGTCTCCTAGAACTGTGGGACTGAGTTCATATATTTGACACTTCCTTCAGCTTGAGAAGAACCAAACAGACCCCATCAAAGTGCTAGTGGGAGAACACTACCCTCCCGGGGAGGCCCCTAAAAAATCTGGTGGGCTATAGGCTGCATTCATGATTGTGCCTGGTGCTACATGCAGAGGCTCAGCAACATTTACCGAGGAAAACAACAAAAAAAGGAGGTATGTGAGGGGAGAGGGAAAGATAGAGACAAGAAGAGACAGGTTGCTCGTTTATGAGGAATTTTCCAATTTTATTTTGCGTGAGCTCAGTGACTGACACTTTCAAACACACATTAAATGCCTACTGTGTGCCAGCTACCGAGCTAGGTGATAAAGTTACAAGGACAAAACAAGGCCACTTCTTGCTGTCAGAGATGCTCCTGGTGCAGTGGAGGCAGCAGAGGGGACTGCAGTTGTGATAAGCATTTGCTGAGGATTGAGGAGGAGGGAAGAGGAGAGGACAGAGGAAGGCATGGCTTACTTTCTCCTTGGCCTTCATTTGTTTTCTTGAAAAGCAAAGGGGAACCTTAGGTCTTGAACCACAAGAACAATCTGTAGCTGGACAGTTTCCTACTTTTCTTCCACAAACTATATCTCATTCGTTCTTTTGGTACCCACAAGTGACTGAGTACATGCTGTGTTGGAGATTGGCTTGGGGAGTTTTAGTCTCCGATCAGCCTCTGTAAGGTGAGAGACCTTTGGTAAGACTTTCAGACTTGCATGCCAATAAAGGCATGGGTCACATGTCTTAAATTTAGAAAAATATATAATGTGTGTAATATAGATGGTGGGATAATACAGAGAGGGTGTTACTGTCACCGCCAGTTACCAGGCTTAGAGACATGACTGGAAAGGGTTGGAATGGAAACTCACACAGCTTTTTTGTTTGTTGTTTGGTTTTGTTCTGGCATGGAACTTATTATATAGACCAGGCTGGCCTTGATCTCATAGAGATCCACCCACCTCTGCCTCCTGAGTGCTGAGATTAAAGGCGTGCACCACCATACCCAGCTCATACAGCTTTCTGATCTCATATGCCCTGCAATCTCAGGACTCAGTCAGCCCACCTGAAGGATCACAGTAAACACTCAGTGAACTTTCTTTATATGCCATAGAAAGGTCAAAACCGTGTACACCAAGAATCGCCGACCCTGGGAAGAAAGCTTTACAACTGAGAATATGGTCGGCCTTTGAGAATGTCGGGCCTGGCTTCCTACCCTTTTCCAGGGGCTATGAGGTCTGTGTGGGTAGACAGTGGGCGGAATCTGGAGTCATTGTTTCCTGGGGAGCACAGCACCATGACTCCCTCAGGGGAGTCCATACTACATGCAAATAACGCTGCTGAGGCCAATCCACAAGAGCACAGTAAGCAGCAGGCCATAGTGGGCAGGCCACCTGCTGTGGTTGCAGCACCTGTCCTGATCATAGGTCTGCCCTAGAGCAGCTCAGGTACAGAAAGGCAGGCTGGTCTTTGACATGCTGGTCAAAAGCAGAAGGGCACCTTACACTGGTTTTATGAAGTTCCAAAACAGAGTTCTGACCATGAACCCTTCCTGAAGGGTTTGACATTATCCAGAGCAGAGCTCACCATGGCAACACAACTACACACACCTGTGACCCCCTTCTGTCAATGTCTGGCAGGATGGATTGGGGCTGTGATTATCATCAGGATGTTTTCAAATATCTCTATTTCCAGGAGGAGAGAAAGCTTAATCATTTCGGTTTGACTTAACTCTCCCCAAGTGAATATTTTAAAGTGGAAAGGAAACGGACCTCTTTTATTTCTGAAACTTCCAGTGCAGCTGCAGAGAGCAGATTGGGGGTGGGGTATGAAAGTTAGGCAGGAACACTGAATGAAGCAGCTGTTCTCTGCCAAATGTCCTACCTCTGCACTACTGAATCTTGAACCCCAGCTCTGGGTTCTAGAAGTACTTAGAAGTCTTGGTGTCTTCTAGCTGACACTGTAACCAACCCTTGAGGGACAAGGTAAATGTAGACGGATACTGTTGGATTTTTTTATGAAATATAAAGGATAATCACAGGGACCAAAAATAACAATTAGCAATGAGTCAGCATGAATCACAGTGTACCTGCTAGGACTGAGTTCAACCGACAAAGATGTCCACTCTCCAACAGCAAAGGTGAAAGTGAGTCCTTGTGTGGAGGTCATGAATTAGAGTGGCGTCAAGAATGTGATCTATGTTCTAAAAAGAGGTTTATGACTTTGTTTTCAAGAAAAGAAAAAGCAATTGGATTCACTAGCAGTTAGGTGAAATACCAGATTTTGTGGTATTGCCAGATATTGCCAAATTCATGACAGTGTCAAGTGGTCCAGATTCATGCATATGCAGATGTGTATGTGAAAGCTAACCTTTCTAGTAGTCGTGATCTCTTAACAGTCAAAAACAATGTCCTTAAGCCAGTGAGTAATTTCATTTCCAATGAAAGCATTCAAGAGCATTGTGGGGACAAAGCTCACTGTGATTTTAAAATTCCAACTGTTTATAGGTATACACAAATATATTATCAACCTAATTACCCTTTATTTTGGCTTATCTGATTTGCAAACATGATTTCTGAAGTTAAATGGTATTTGTAATGGCACCATCCAAAGCAATTTTGGCTGAGTAGAGCACTATTTGTTGAACAAAAATGTAGTTGTCTGTGCAAGTTTAAACATTTCAAAAGGGCAGCTGAGTTCATTTCAACACTACTTACAGAATAAGTATTGGCAAATGAAGTGGGCTATGGGAAAGACAAGATATTTTCAATCTTCTGAGAGGCTTACAGCACAAATCCTTTGACTATTGAAAGTAAAATTGAAAGGTCTTGGACAATTGAAAGGTACAGGTTGAAATCTCAGGATAAAAAGAGGCTTTACAAGAGGAATTATCTATCATGGAACATTAAGGAAAATGTTGTGTTACAGTCAGAAACATGGAAAATATGCTGTTCAAAATTGTTGGCTCTGGAATAAATAAAATCCAGACTTAGACTATTAAAAATATCAAAGTGATCCGCTGGGCCAAGTCCATTTTCTTTTGTTGTTTGTTATAAAGAAAATCCATTACTGAATATAATACAGTTCTGGTTAAATTATCAGAGACACTTTCCATATGAAAACCATATAACAAAGTTTGCCATGTGTTATATATTCTTCTTCAGCAATTTTAATACACTTCTATCATAGAGTGCTAGGTGCCGCATTAAAAGGAAAATCTGAGTCATATTTTAACCTCCTACTGGAGGCCCCAAGCCCACTTACCACTGACACTCCATTCATCCTTACCGAGCAGTGATTAGGAGTAACATTCGCCTGGATGGCAAAATTGGAGATAAAAACCCCAAAACAACCAACCAAAACAACAAACCCCTGCAAGATGTTCATGGACACTAGATGAAAGTAAGTGTCCTTGACTGATAGTGGTCCTTAAGTCCAGAATGCAACTCTAGCTGTGACTGGAGCACATCACATTGCAAGGGAACCCATCCTTCTCGATAGGTAGCTTTATCATTAAGAGGATGTGTTGAATTGAGGTTTCTATCACTTGACTCTAGTTTTGCCTTCTGGAAAAACATAGAACATAATGTTTTCCATTTGCTTTAAACTAACTTTTCAAATAATTTGAGAGGGCTTCCTTGTGTCCTGGTAAATTCCACCCCCATGTTCCCTTTATGGAACAATCTTTTTATCTTACTTTCACTACCACAAACTGTTGTTTTGTCCTTAGGGATTTAAAAAATTATCTCCTATCAACAGAATGAACTTAACAGTTAAATATTCAATACTGCATTTAGAATAAACCAGTATTTTCAAATTAGGACATTTAAAAACCAAGCATTGTAGCATTCAGTTGGATTCAGTTTACCATTAGCTCTTTGAAATTAGTTGTCTAGCATTGCCCAACAACAAATGATTGGGGAAAAGATGGAACACCTTGCCAACACTGTGCATTTGAGGGAAAGCAGCATAAATCTTTTATAATGAAGTTCAAATGCTCTGAGACAATGACTGAATTTCATGTTTGAAAGTACTGAAATTTGGGAATTTAAAAGTCACAGGATTAATTAGGTTGTATTTTAGAAATGATGCTACAATCTAAATTTCTTAGTAAGTCAGGTAATAAAACAAGCATTCAGATACCTTCACTGACTGAAACAAAGGACTGATTATATCTCCTAGTGGTTATACATTAGACACCCATGTAAATCACAAATAACAGACCAGGAACGCTTTAAACCCAGGAGACTTTATTTCACCTCCGGAAAGGCCCCTCCAGCCTTGAATCCACACGATAACAAGGCCAAGGAGTAGACTTTTTTAAAAAGGGGGGAGGGGAGGGTTATTTTATTGTGACATTATGACATTGACCCCTTGTTGAGAGGAATGGCCAAGAGTAATTTTGGCATATTGCACTTGCTGTGTGATGCTAGATGCACTGGTGATCCTCTGGCGGCTGAGGCTGTTTCCTGGTCCTCCCCAACCTCAATGTACACATGGGCCAGTCACAGAAATTCCATTAGCACTTGGTGTAGACATTTAACAAGTCTTTGGTCTTAATAAGCACCATTACAAACCCTCACATTAAGGGCTTTATTATTCTCGTTGATAAATGTTTCAATGATAAAAATAGCACGATTACAGTATACACACACTTAATTTACATGTACTGTATTATACTCATAACTGAGATAAACTACCGAACTAACTTGGGTTGACTGGAATGAAGTATCTGAACTGAGTATTTGCAATTTGGTTTCTAAATTGTGTACATATTACAGTGCATTTATAAATCTAGTTTGAAAATTTACTAGCACCAAATAGATATCATAAATGGCCAGCCTAGTACTGCACTTGGAGAAGCAAAGTTTCAAAATTTGGAAACAAATAGAACAGTCCCTCAGATGGAAGCAGGTTGCTGTGCATCTTCCGGAAGGCCAGCACGTCGCAAGAACGGCCAACCCCAGCGGATGTACACATCCCAGTTTTCAAGAATCAACATGTATGACAAGGTAGCTTAGCTACTCATGAGAAGCCTGAGAAAGGGGTTGTTTGAACTAGGGTAATCATTGTACCTTGCCTTTGTCATACGAGAATAGTGCTTGTTTACAGAAATTTACCTGGTGAATGATTGTACCTATGTAGTGAAGATTCTGATTTGGGGAAAATATAATTCTACCTACCTAAAGTTGTTTTTCTTTTAATTATTTGGTCTCTGGATGGTGAATTAATGAAGCAAAATCTGAATTTTCATCTTCAGATTGTCACCCAGTTCACCACTGAGGTAGTCTTTGTCGTATTTGTCTTCGAGCTGGTTCAGCTCTTTCTCTTTATAAAGTGGAGTACTACTGATTTGTAATGAGTAGGTTCCAGCCACTGGCTTCTTCTTCGTGAAGTGGAGGTAGCTGATCCCTTCTTTTTGGTTGATTTTAAAGAAGCCATCTTCGTTTCCAGATTCAATCAAGTATCTGTTGTGATTCGTCAGTGTCGTAAGGGCTGGCAGCAGCTCTAGGATTCGGACCTTGTTACTGACGTGGGAAATATTGAAAGCGAAGGTGGCTGGTTTCTCAATATCCCAGCTTGCGAGGCTCACGTTGGCTTCTGTCCCAGACCCACCCTGCAAAGAGACCATACAGCAATGGGTTAAATTCAGCTAAATATGTGGCTTAGTTCTCATGTTAAAGAAAAAGCGACTGAAGTCTCAGATTAATACACTTTTCTGTCCATGTTGTATATGTTTCATTGAAAATGCACATGCATGGGCTGGAGAGATCACTCAGCAGTTAAGAATACTGGCTGCTCTTACAGAGGACCTGGGTTCGGTTCCCAGCTCCTACATGGCGGCTAACAACTGTCTGAACTCCAGTTCCAGGGGTTCCGACATCCTCTTCTGACCCCCAAGGGCATTGCACAACACAGGAACACTTATGCACACGCAGGCAATACACTCATACACATAAAATAAAATAAAAATGATAAAATATTTTTTAAAAAGGAAATGCACACTCATAAAACACTTTATTTAAACCACAAATATTTTTTAAGTCATTAAACTGATGGCAGAAAGGAAGTCAGATTAGATCACTTGTATTGTGGAGTGGGGGTTTCTCATGCAGTGGGTCTCAAAGTATGGTCTCTGAACCAGCAGCCTTCACGTCTCTTGGAAATCCTAGACATGTAAATTCTCAGCACCTCACAGATCTGGTGACTTAGAATCCCCTGGGCACCTTCCAGCAGTCCATTTTAACAAGCCTTCCAGGTGACTCAGACACAGTCAAGTTTGAGAAGGGCTGTTCAATATAGATCATTTTCTTTCCAAAGACTTATCTCATTTCCCAAACCACAGTAGGTGGGATACTCAGAACATGTCTATTTCCATTTTGCTCACTGACACAAAACCATCTCCTCTTCAGGACACACCTCTGAACCTACTTCCTGACTGTGATGATCTGCTAATATTCAGTGCTTTTCACCTGGCTTTCTGTTTGCCTCTTTTGGAACCACATGTGTTAAACTCTCCAGGCCTGGAGCCAGAGGTCTGGGGTGATATCTGTGCATCTCCCAGTTGACTGGGAGCCACAGTAGCCTAAGTGAAGCCAGCAGGCCGCTCCAGCTCCGAGTGTTTGTCCACCATCCAAGTTCCCTCACACTCCACATGGTTCTTTTCAGAAGAGCTTCTAGCTCTCAGAACTTGGCTTGCTATGTGGGGAGCACTGTGTCAGCAGGCCATCCTGCCCACTTGCTGTCCTTGACTTTAGACTTTGTACTTTCAGCAGACAGTGGGTGGGTGTTTGACTCTTTTTGGTGAGACAGAGGAAATGAGCAAGTATGTGAAAAACTTTCAAATTGCCACTCCCAAAAAGGAGGGAAAAAAAGAAAAAAACCTCTAGAAAGCCCCACAGCTTCTTGTAAAATACAGTTAGAACCAGGAGTATTTCTAGACTTCTTCCTGGGGAGGTTTCCCACAGTTGGATCACCCCGGAAGGAAATCACAGGAACCTGGGAACCTGGAAGGCTTTCCACATCAGGAGACAGGAGAACTCTCCAGCTTACCTGGATGTCAGAGGCATCTGTTTCATTTGTGCTTCTCCGTTTCCTGCCTCGTTTAGGGTAGCCATTGATCTTACACTCATAGCAAGCCTCTGGGGACAGTGAGTTGTCATCCATCTCACCACTAGCTGGTGGCTCGGGGCCTCCTCGGCCCATGCCCATTCCAGAAACACAGTGCCTATGGTAAAAGGAACATATAGGTAGTTTTCATCAGAACCTGTAACTGCAGTGGTACCCAGCCTCTACCCTAGTGACACCCAGACTCTTGATTATTTGTCCACTGGGCGATCATCTGGTTCTGAAAATCATGCCAAGGTCCTCTTGTTTAGCCTCTAATTCCCAGTCCCCTGAGTACATTGATTTTTTTCCCAGACCCTGGTTTCCATATTTGCCTATCTCCCATTTCCCAACCCACCAGAGCAGATCTTTTGCAGTACTCATGCTTGGGAAGGGACACATTAGAAGCCAAAGGACAGGGTTGAGGGAGACTACATGACTTGGTGGGCTACTAAAAATGTCTTCTGTTTATGAATCAGGCTCCATGGGAGTAAGAAAGGTCTCCTGCCAGCTGAACCCCCAGGAAAGAGCAAGGACTGGAGAGCAGGCTGCATTGGGGCCTGCTGCCTGGACAGCATGTTTGTTCTGTTCTGACCCCATTTCCTTCTCTCTCTCTCTCTCTCTCTCTCTCTCTTGTTAAGACAGAGTCTCCCAACCAGCCTGGAACTGGAACTCACTATGTAGACCGTTTAGACCAAGCTGGCCTCAATCTCACAGCGATCTGCTTGACTCTTCCTCTCCAGTTCCAGGATTAAAGGCATGTACCTGGTTTCTTTTAATGTTTTTATTTTTAAAGCCAGGATATAATATGTCAGATACTATTACAATGTATTTGAACAAAGTGTTTTTATGGTTCTCCTTCCCCCCATTTCCCCCCTCCCCTGCTATTCCTGTTTCCCCTAGAATCCTCCCCAACCCCGGACTCTTTTCCTATTTTATGTCCCATGTGACCTTATTTGTGGTCCAGGTCTCATCAGTTCTAACTGCCACCCTCACCACCAGTGCTGCTCCCTGCTGGCTCAAGAGGGCAGCACAATCAGGGCGGGTTCCCTAGCATCTGGTGGCCCATTTCTTGTCCTTTTCTATCCCTCCCCACTCAACTTTCTGAGCAATCACTTCTATTCTTTCTGCTGCTCCCTGCTGGCTCAAGAGGGCAGCACAATCAGGGTGGGTTCCCCAGCATCTGGTGGCCCATTTCTTGCCCTTTTCTATCCCTCCCCACTCAACTTTCTGAGCAATCACTTCTATTCTTTCACATTCTGTTGTTCCGATGCTACTGCAAACTGGAGGTCCGAGCTAGGCGGTGACTGAGGGTCGGTTCAGTAATGTGCTATGAAGATGTACAATATATTCTTAGATATAAAATGCAGGGGTCAGAGCTTGTCCATGCTCTGGGAAACTGTGAGAAACAGTTTATTTCAAGTCATTTAAAACCACTAAGGACATGGGCTTTGACTCATGAGAAGGCGGATAAACAAACCCATGCCCAGGAGAGGTCTAATTCACTTGTTTTTCTTTGCCTTTCGGTTATCAAAGCCAAGTTATGGAATGAGCCTTGCACAGCACCTTGTTTGTTATTCTGCTAACTATTTCAGAGGCCACTTGGCATGTGTATTTATCAGGCTCCCCTTTCCAAATGTGTTGAAACATCTGAATGGTCCTAGAAGAATCCTTATTTTGGGGGCAGAGTTTACTCTAGAGAATAGGCCAAAGCTATTTTAAATGGGTGGATTTCTACTGGTACGGCAAATGTAGACCAACTCTTAATGGTTTCTCTGCAAAAGCTGACCTACTCTATAACTCATTTTCCTGATTGCCCACAAGATTCAAAATACAATGCTAAGGAGCAAAATATGTTATGTCTCACTGCACTTTCAAGGTTCCCCCACTTCTCACAGAGTACACATTTCCTTTCTTGTTTATCTCACAGCGTGGAATATGGAGGAGGAGTGGAACAGACGAAGTGACACAGGACCACCCGTGTGTGTGCATACATCCACAGACAGTTAAACTGTGAGGAGGTTAGCCCAAGCCCGCAGGCTTTGGCTCCCTTCTCAGAACTCCTCTCCAGTATTTTCATGTCCCAGGAGGACCACTTATAAGAAACGTGACTACAAAATCCCACTGGCCAAAAGCCAGTTCAGAGTGTCACAATTTTTTCTGGGAAAAGTGGTTCTGGCATTAACTGTAAAAAAATGAGTCAGCTGAGAGCCAGACATAGACATCTGGGAATCCGGGTCCTACTGCTGGCATTCCGTGAGCTTCCCACGGAACATTCTTTACCTTGAATTCTACATAGACTGGAATAAATCACTTTAAGCCAGCGTGTTACAGAATCCAGGACTACTAAGTTAAAAACGTGGTAAAAATATATATGAATGTGACTATGTAATGATGGGGAAGGAGAGAATGATTTCATAATTAAAAAGTTAAAATTCATGAAGCTAAACTAGATGTACACTCAGGTCCGCATGACTTCATCAACTTTGAAAATTTACTAAAATTTTAAATAATTCAGCAAAATAACAGGCCTTCTATGTCCCATCAGTCACACACACAGACACACACACACACACAGACACACACACACTATTTGATGAAATTTTTTTTCTTTCTTAAAAATATTTTATTATTTTTATTTTACGTGTACGAGTGTGTTGCCTGCATGTATGTGAGTGCACCCGTGTCGTGCAATGCCGTGCAGTTCAGAAGAGGGCTTTGGATTCCTCTCAAACTGCAGTTTAGGACAGTTTGTAGCCGCCATGTGGGTGCTGGGAATTGAACCCGGGTCCTCTGCAAGAGCAGTCAGTGCTTTTAACCACTGAGTCATCTCTCTGCCCCTTGATGAAATTTTCTACTTGGAAAATATAATTACTCCAACTCTTTTGATCATTTCTAACGTAAGTTCAAGACTGAAGTACAAAGCATCTTTAAAAAGCTGTAAGAGACCTCCAACAAAAGGCATCTGTCTGGATTAACTGAATGGGAACTGGACAAGAAAGAGGGAATCCTCGTGCCCCCGCAGAAGGTTTGGCGTGAGCAGAAGGGGCCCAGTGCTGTGTAGGTTGGCTGGGAGGTGCATTCTCAGAGAGACACTTCCCAGCAGGATGTGAAGGTGAAGAACATGGGACAGAGGAGGTGCAGTGAGATGTCTGTAATGTGGCTCTATGACTTGTTGGTCTATGATTTCCTGTGGGGAGCCGCCTGCCGTCCCTGCAGACGCCATTACAAGATGGTGCTCACATCCAGTTCATGCTGAGCAGTAAATAAGTCAGTACACATGCCCGAAGTAATTTTCCACCTTCTAGTCTCTGCCTACCTCGTGGCGTGATATGGGCTGATGAGTTTGCGACCAATCAAGAGTTGCCACATCCAAGACGGGCTTACTAACCTATATAAGGGCTGGGTTTCCGACATTCGGGGTCTTCGCCCTGTAAGCTTATGCTCTCCCTCTCAAGATACATTAAAGCTTTTCTGCAAAAGGATCCTGAGTGTGCCGCATCGTTCTTGCTGGCGAGACGATAGCGCGGGACAATTTCCCTCACCTTCTCACTGATGCTCCTCTAAAACTTTTTCAAAGCTAGCTGGAATTAATCCAAGGATTACAAAAAGTATCTTTCTTAGCAGGACAAGTCATTTTGAGATAGATTCTCATTATGAATTAGAGAGTCATCAACCAGTACCTACCCTTGGCCTATTCGGAAGTAACCGGGTGGACAGCCGCACAGGTAGCCACCCTCAGTGTTGGAGCAGCCGTAGCTGCAGGGGGCCTGTGAAGAGCCACACTCGTTGATGTCCTGACATCCTCCACTGAACTGTTCATACTGGAAGCCAGCAGGACACATGCACTTGTAGCTCCCCAAAGTGTTGTGGCAGGAGGCACCTCCACAGATGTGAGCGCTCAGGCATTCGTTTTCATCTGCAGAGGACACAAGAAAACACATGTGTGACACTCACCAGACAAAGTTCCTGGGAGGGTCAGGCCACTCAGGGCTAGGCCAGCTGGCCTATAGGTAGGATCTTAGGAGGGGAAGCAGGCAGAAGTGGCCAGACGGAGAGAACAGAGAAAGATGCAGAGATGGAGGGAGCCTCTTGCCACGCTGTGACTAAGTGTGGTAGATGATGTCAAATGCACCCACAGAGAGCACCTGGCGACAGCACCGTGAAGGGCACAGACTCTAGTTCTCACTGAAAGCCAACACTAGTGTGGTCTGCTTCATGTCAATGCAGGCAGCTTTACAGCTAGGATCTGGGGTTCAGGGTGGGTGGGAAGGCATCAGGCAGTTCTCGGCATTCTTGATTAACAAGTTCCTAGAAGACAAATATCCCCAGAGCAGAGAGACCCACCATTTCCCCAGATGCTGCTTTCTTGACCTTTCCTGTTACAGGATGTGCAGGTCTGGGGAAGGCTGATATCCTACAGGAAATATCTGCCCTATTTGCTCTTCTTTTTCAAAGAATCTGAAAAAGCCCCCAGGTTACCTGTTCTTGGTGTGAGCAGTACCTTCTGGTATGCCTGCTCTGGTCTCTGAGTCTCTGAATGCCTCTCCAAACCAGCCTCTAGTGACAGTACCTGAGCCGCGACTAAAGCTAAGTGTGGCTGGAAGGCATTCAGCACAGACTTTTTAGGCAGTATCTGGGGAAACCTATGAGAGATGAACTGAGGCTACAGGACTGCCTACCCACCTGTATAGTCCAGTGGAAAGAAACAGGGACAAGAAATATAACTTTCAAAAAATTAAGTTCAAAGGAAGAACTCAGTTGTTCATTATTTCAATCTATGTATTTTTCTGAAATCTCAAATACTCATTTTTAGGCCTGCCATTATGGAGCAAGTTGGAAACTGCTGGTAAGACATGAGTTCACTGCAGCTCACTTTCAGAATTTGAACACAGGTAGATCAATCTGCTGCTCACTTAGTGCATGACTGCTTCTGGTGGAAGCGGGGCTGGGAGGTATTGAAGACTTACTAGAAGCCCACCATAGACAGGATACGGGGTGCCTCACATCCATCTACATGAACTTTCCCACAGTCCTATGGGCTCTAGGAAGCTTCTCCAGGACCTCATATCCAACAGCAGAGAGGCCAGGGTTCCCAGACAGGTCTGTCTTACTGCAGGGCCCTGTTCTTTATACCATAATGACTTGCATGAATACACATACACACACACACACACACACACACACACACACACACGGACGCATGCATGCATGCACTTAAACAGATGCTTCCTCCTGTAATTATTGTTGCCTTCTTTGCTCAGGCAGATTCTAAATCTCCTTTTTTTTTTTAAGGTACTTTAAACATTAAAAGAAATCTAGTAATCATTTATTTATTTATTGTGGGAGGAGTTCATGTGCCATGGTGCATGCAGGAAGGTCAGAGGACAGCTTGTGGGGGTCAGTTCTCTTGTTTCACTATGTGGAGTCCCTGGATTGAATGAACTCTGATCATCAGGCTTTGTGGCAGTCACCTTCACTCACTGAGACATCTCACTGTCCCTCCAGTACTTTTACTGGTGTATATTCATTGTACATAGTGATGGGCTTCATAAAGACATTTTCATTCAAATGCGTCAATGTACTTTGACCACATTCACCCTGTTATACTTTCTTCTCCCTCACGTTAATTCCCCCTTTCTTCCCAGATAGACTCCATTATACTTTCATGTGATATATTAGAAGTTAAAAAATAGGTAAGTAGAAGTGGGAGGTCTAGAATACTCGTTGATATATATTTAGTACTATTCACATATACGTCCTTTCCTCCTTCTTTTCCGGCTTCCCTCCAGTTGCCAGCCGGCGATCTTGACTGTGCCTGTTTGAAGATTCTCTATATCCAAAGACTCTGAAGTCCCACCCAAGCTTCTTTATGCTACAGGGATCTTAAAATAGAAGTAATACAACATGCCATTGTCTCTGTTCCTTTCCTTCAGCTTATTTTAAATTAGCAACGAGGTACGTTGCAAAGGCCAGTGGAGCCTACCAAGTGAGTAAAGAGCTGAGGGTGTTTCCTCGAGTGCGGGTATCTGGGACAACTGTCTTCTCTGGCCCTCCATGTCTCCCTCCATCCTCTCCTCCTGCTCTCCATCCCAGGAGGTTGATGTGTATGAGCATCGGCACCTCTGCTCCCTTGTCCTCCACATGGGTTGACTCAGCCAACTGTTTCCTGTGCACTAAGATAGCCAGGAGTCATGTGTGGACAAGGGTAAGACCTGTCAGTACCTGCCTTTTGCTAATAGGCACATAGAGGACCAATGAATAGAAGTTAGAGGGAGGGAAACTCATTTATCATAAAAAGAAACTTCTAAGTATTGAGCTCTCTGTGGCTAGGCTGAGACTGTTGGGGAGAAAATGAGTCCCTTTCAAGACGGTCTTCAAACCAGACTCACCCGACCAGGGCAGCTGGCGAGAGCTCCTGCGTGAGGCACACCTGAGGATGGATGGTCTCTCAGTTCCTTTAACTTTGAGCCTCTCTCTGGGCTACCATAAATATTCACTCTGTTCTGGAACTCTCCCCCTCCCCCTTCATAGACATCTCTTTTTTTTCCCCCCTGATTAACATTTAATAGTTTAAATTCAAATTTCTTGTGTGGGTTGGAGAGGAGGGACAGATTGGAGCACAAATTAAGACCAGAAGTCAGCAGAGCTCGGTGTCTATCACTTGAGAATAAACTTCAGCATTTAGCCTCTCACCAGCCACAAATACCATGATCTGGTTAATATGGACTGTGCCTTTCTGGACCCTTTTTATTCTGGGTACTCTGGAGCAAATGACTCCACAGGAAGTTGATTTTTCTAAATGCTCCAATGTTTGTTTTCATTTCATTTGGTAATTCTATTGGTGAAGTTTTTATTTACTTTTTTTTTTTAATAAAAAGAGAATTCTAGTTTTAGTGAAACAACATTAAAACATCTGAAAGGCACTCCTTCAGCTGGATTAAAGTCTACCACTCTGACCTCTGGAACTGAAGGATTCAGCACTGGGGTCCCACAGTACAGGTTAGTACAGGTTAGTCGTACTGTTAAGGATTACTAGAACAAAAACCCCCAAATGTTTTCTTTAATTTTTTTTTTTTTTTGGACAAAATGGGCCCACTCCAACTGAAATTTGAAAATTTGATATTTGTTTCTTGAAAGCAATATAATTAATGACCCCTCACCCCAAACTCAGCCATCATGAAGAGTGAACTTTGGAGCAGCTGCGAGTTGGGATCCAGGTGGGACTTGGTCTAAGAGATCTGCTCTGTATAGCATAGCTCTGGGGGAGTTCATTCTAGATGACTCTAATTCTTGGGACTTCTGAGGCCTACTTGGTCTTTGGGTCAATAAGAACTCCAAACCCCTTCTGACTTCTTAATCAACTTATTCTTTTGTGGGTGTGACATGATCTTCCTGGAACCTAGGGAGACTCTGCAAGGAACTAGGGCCTGGTCTGGCTGCCCATACTAGTTCAGCACTAAGGACACAGTTCAGTACTAATGCACGTTTTACTATCTTATATTACAGCTCTGACTTTATTAAAGGACTCTGCACAATGGGACAGGGACAGACACACCCGTAGTGGGTACTGAATCATAGGAGCTCAACCTGGGAAGCTCTGTAAACAATTTCAGAAACTCATGATTAAAATAAAAGACACCTTATCCCCAAGGTGACAATGAATAAGATACTTTTCATCAAAACTAGGCAGTGAGAGTTCTGTAGTCTAAACTCTTTTGCAGCAGGGTGACTTTAGCCAGCCCTACACACCTCTGCAAAATTGCTTCATACAGAATCAGGCTAGATGAGAGATGTGATTGTAACACATGAAAACACACTGTATACGTGTTCTGTAGGCATCAAGTGAACCACTGTGATATGGAGCATCCACCCACAAAGCAATAATCCTTTGCATTTTTGCTATGGAAGGCTCTCATAACCACGTGTGGCACACAGAACAGGTCATGTGACCAAGCACCCACTCACAGCTGCCTATGTGCTTGCTGAGTGGGAAACGAAGCAAGAACGGCCTTGAAAGGCAGACAGTCCTGAGGCAGGAAACTAAGAGCCAAGAGCTTTAGGTTCTAGTTTCAAGCAGCCACAGAAGCACCTGAGACAGGTTTTCTTCCTTCCTGAGCTCAGTGCCCTCATCAGTGGAACAAACAGTTTCTGGTGTCCCTCCAAACTCCCCATGTTTTGATTCTTTCAAATGCATTAAGAATTATTTTTTCAAAACATATAAGTGATATCATTTCAACTGAATACAGGAGTCTATCTCCCTTAAGTTTATACTGAAAAAGCACACTATCTACGCTACTTGCTGTCTCAAAGATATATAGAGCTCAACAAAACGACTTCTGAGTCCTCAGGTAAAAAATAACTCGAAACAGCCTCTGGATGGCTGATATTTTTCAGCCAGAAATAGGTTATTATGGGCTGGCAAGATGGTCCAAGTGGGTAAGGCACTTACTGCCGAGACTGATGACTTGAGTTTGATCCCCATTCCCACAAGGTGGAAGGAGAGAATAATCTCCTATAAGTTGTTTTCTGACCTCTACATGTGTACCATGGCATGCGTGCATACGTATGTACACACACAAATGTAATCGTTTTTTAAAGAAGTAGGATATCGTGAGAGATCTCAAGTATGGGCTGATGGCACAGCAGAGGAACAGGACGTAGTGATGTCAAGGAATTCTAAGAGCACTTCACCCAGATTCTCCAAAAGCTTCCTTTATCACAAGCTCCCCGCCCCCCACTGTGTACACTGCAAAGGCTATTACTTCCCTTTGCTTTCAGTTGAGGAAGGGTAATTTTTGGTGAACATTTGTTGGCTCAATAACCTTATTTAAAATTTCTAGAAAGTGTATGACTTCTAACGGTGGACAGCAGTGCATCCTACTTAGGAGGAAAAGCTACTTGCCCACACACTGATTCCACTGGTAGTGCTGGAGGTAGCCCTGAGGGCAGCTGCACCTGTAGCCACCGATGATGTTCTGGCAGCCGTGCTGGCAGCGGTGGTTGCCCTCACACTCGTCCACATCTGAAAAAGAAGCAGAGCCATCAACCTTGAGCCACATCAGCATTGTCTCCTGGGCGCTCTCTGAAGCCCCAGTGATCTGCATCGAAGCTTTCTAGAAAGAAATCTTTCTCCTAAAAATTACTCTAACACCTTAAACATCAAGAGTATCTAGACTGGAGCTTTTGCAAAGTTCAAGAAAGAAAATATCCAGAGATCCCTGGCGAAGTCTACAAATAAAAATGATATAGAAATTCATTACGAAGCATGGCACTCTATAAATTATTTATGTTTGCTTCTTTGCATTGGAATTAGAAACCAAAAGAGGTCAATATAAAAATAAAATCCTAAAAGTTATAATTTAAAAATGTTATAATTTAATTACATATTAGTAGCAGAATTATTTCTTATATATTTTGCCCATACTGGAGAAATCCAAGGGCTCTGGTCAGGAATCTAGCTATTTTTCCTGACTGAGTTATTCCTAGTAGGCTAAATTATTAAGTAAGCAGAAAAATCTTGATCTATGTAGAAAAGGCATGTGTTACAGACCCAGTTAAGTATGGGTGTAAAGTTGAATTTCTAAGACACGGGGCCCATGCAAACAGTTTCCAACTTCAGCTGGCCGGTCCCCTTGCTCAGATGTTGGTTCTTTTATAAAATATTTCTTTCCCTTTTTTTTTTTTTTTTTTTTTTTTTTTTTTTTTTTTAAAAATCCGTCATGTAGCTTGGACAAGCCTGGAACTAGCTATGTGGATCTTCCTGCCTCTGCCTCCCAAGTGCTGGGATTATAGATGTATGCCACCATGCCCAGCTGAGGTATTAGTTCTTATAACATGGATAGCCACACAGGCCACTCTGCAAGGAGATGCCAACTGAACATGCTGAGGGCGCTACTTACCCTCACAGCTGGCACCACTCTGATCAAGTGAGAATCCGCGCTGGCATTCACAGGTGAAGCTTCCAGGAGTGTTCTGGCAAACACCCTTGGACCCACACAGGTTGATGTCAGATGTACATTCATTGTTATCTGTGAGAAGCAGTGGGAGAAAAGAGTGAAAATTCCAAGCTCTCTTTATATTGTTTGAAAGAGAGGCAGAAGGACGACTCAGGGAAGCCAACAACCTCTCACACCACGTATGCACAGTCCAGCACATACACTCACTCACACACGTTCAACATTTTTGTATTGTTACCCAACAGCGGAAGGAAAAGAAAGCAGTATCTTAAAGGAACAGCTGTGTTCCATGTAGGGTTCTCCCCACTTCTCCTTACCAATGCAGGCAGTGTGATGTTGAGTAAACCCAGGAGGACATTTACATGTGAAGCCACCAATGGTATTAACACACAGGAACTGGCAGTTATGCTGCTTAGTTGCACACTCATCAAGATCTGCAAGAGAATGCAGGGTGGGAATTCAATGAAGCTGAGCAGGCAGGTTGTGAAGCTGCCCGGAGGACAGGAAGCAGCACCATGCTTTGAATTCCAGGCCTCAAATGACACTGGCCAGAATAGAGCCACAACACAGGGCTAGGAACCCTGGGGATTAAGCTTTGGAAGAGAAAGAGGTCTCAATTTCAACCAAGAAAAAAGTGGCTCTGTGGGATCCAAGGATGACCAATTCCCTTTAGTTAAAGAAATGAAGAAATTTCTCAACAAAATTATTTCAAAGGAAAACTTAAATTATAAAGTGAAGTAAAAACTCATTCTGAATATTTTCCATAGCGGTGAGAAGATTTAGTCTAAGTGTAGCTCTTACTGCTCATCAAAGATTTTTGTAACAGGAAGAAGCCTCTGTGGAGATCAACAACTGGTCACAACGCAGAGAATAAATGACCATGGAGTGCCCGCCCCAATTGGTGCATCTACAATTCAACCCCTATACCTAAGGCTCATAGAACATCATAGAAGAAAGGGAGGAACGATTGAAGAGCCTGAACACCAGGATGCCTAATGCTCAATAGTGTCTTTTAGACATGACAGAGCTGCTGCACCCATGAAATCTCAACAGTATGGTTCCCTAAATGAGACCTGCATAACAACACCACCAGCTGATATGACAACATGGATGGGGAAAGATTCCGAAGGCCCCATCCCTGGATGAAGAGATATAGGCAATAAATGGTTGCTAAGAGAGGGAAAATCAGTTTTTTCCAGGGACAAGCCCCCTGATAGACTATCCAATCCCAAATGGTCAGCCCTAAACACACAGAGCAACACTAAATGGACTCAGTAGGTTGTATGTATGTGTATATGTTTATATGTATGTATACATGTGACAATAATTATAGAAGAGATCATAAATTTGAAGTAGAGTCAAAAGGGCACAGGAGGAGTCAGAGGAGGGAGCGGGAAGGGTGGAAATGATTTTAATACAGTACTTATGTATAAAATTATAACAAATTAAAAAGTACTGAAGCTGGAAATTCATTTATCCCCTTAATTTCTTTTGCTGCTTTTAAATATTAACACTAATGAGGTTGTCAGTCTACTTCTTTGGTTAGCAGTTTTTCTTTGAGTGAAATAAAATTGAGCAACAAGGAAAGAAAAAAAATCTGATTCTTGTAAACTAAAAGCCCTTAAGAAAACTTGCCTACACTATTTATCCAGCAACTCTCATCTCAATAGACTTATATTTTAACAGAGCTTCTTTCTTTACAGCAGTAACTTCTGGGCTCATTTTTAAGCTCCAAAGGTATTTAAAAGTAGTAAGAGACAGCAAGTGTATTCTAGCTTTTGGTTGGACTTTAAGAATAATTTTAAAGTGCCTGGGAATTCAAGATCATTTCTTGACAAATTCAACCACTGCACACCCTCGCACAGAGGTGCAGTGCTAGGCTTGCTTCTTTGTGCCACAGCAGCCTCCCTGGTTGGAAGGACATTGGGGGTAGAGCTAACCTGGAAGAACTTCCTGTGTTCATCCCAGCATGGACTTCCCCTCAAATGGAGCCCTTCCTGGGCTCTTCTGTGAAGCTGACTGATCTAGGATCCTAGAAACCTTGGGCACAGCACCAGCACGTTTGCTAATGCTTACATGCAGTAGGTGAGGAAGACACTGTCATGATTCTTTACAACCGTCTACGCTACTAACACAAACCATTAATAACATCCACACATGCCGTTCTCACCTCTAAGAATGTCTTCTCTCTCCTTTCTCCCCTCTTTTTGTTATTAGAATCAGTAACATCCAGGACTCATACAAAGCAGTGGGTTTCATTGTGTCATACATGCATGATTCTTGCCTTGATCTCTTCTCTCCTCTTACCTGGCCCCACCCTTCTCTGATTGGGTAAGGCGCTGGCCCCACATTCCTCCCACTGCCTCCCTTCTGGCTGTTTTCTCAGATTCAATGGGACACATATCTGCATACTTTCATATAGGCCAAACATGTGGCTTTAGTTTTAAGACTCAAAATCTGGGCATATGTTTCATTAATTAGACACAAGTCTTCTAAGATTATGGCAAAGTTTATGCTATGTCTGGACTTGCTGGAGGCCTGGACAACACAGTTGTTGAATAGACAGTGCATAAATGCAACAAATATGAGAGTAGAGGAAGCCAACAGGAGCGAGCCTCAGCAGAACCTTGGAGAGCGGGTACCACCACCACCCAGACCCTTATGGATGGCACCCTGGATGTCCATGGTGTATCCAGTGAGACTGGTTGCTGCCTTTAATGCAACCTCTCTGGCCTCCCATTCCTCTTCAGGACCCACTTTCTACATAGGCACTAAGGCCAGGGAAGCATGTCTTCCAGCTGTCTATAGATGATTCACAGGTACGGCAATGCATTGATGCAGCAGCTGGCAGGTAAGAGGACAGAGACAAACCCCTCTTACCTTTGCAGCTCCTCCCATCCTCTTGCAGAATGTAGCCTTTTGGGCAGGAACATTGGTAACTCCCTTCCGTGTTTTTGCATATAAAGTTGCAGGGTTTGGGAGCCTGGTTGCACTCATTCAGATCTATAATCAAAGACAGACAGTATAACTACCCACCTGAAAGACTAGATGCTCAATATCCACGGGGAGGTCGAGAAAAGAATTTCAGTTTGGGGGGAATCATAGACTCTGTGTAATGTTTGATCATTGTCTTATGATTTTTCTATTAGACAGGCATTTTAGATTTTTAGACTTGGATTTTGCCGCCATAACTTGGAACTTCTACTCAGGGATAAACCACTGGAAATGAAGCACTTACCTACACAGGCAGCTCCGGTTATGTCCGGAGTGTAGCCAGTTTTACAAATGCAGTGATATGATCCTCTGTCATTGACGCATTCCCCATTTCGGCAAACATCGTGAATAACCTTGCATTCATCGATATCTAGAATTTAGTAAATATAAATTAGAATAATAACTACATCAGAAAATGGGCAACATTAATACCCAGGAGTCATTTGAGTATAAAATCTACTAGATTGTGCTCTATATATGGTCCTAAGAAGTTAAATCAGGAGGAGACAGCATGAATTTCATACACAATGGCAATTATATTGAAAAGAAAATGAATAATTTTATGAGGTGATAATGAAAAGCTAACAAAACAAAAGGAAAACCTTAATAAATTTTCATTATTTCTCCCTTCTGGTTCATAGACCCACACCCCGCTGAGACACATTTGGCCTTTTGCTCCATCTGGCCTTCACTCTGGCCTCCTGCTGACATTGCATAAGCAAGTCACAGCAGAGGATCCTTTTGACAAGGAAACTCCATGTTTTTCCTAATACTCTATGCTCAAAATAAGAAGCAAAGTTTCTTTAACATTCTCTTTGCTGTGTTTGAAGGTAATCTTGAAAAATGTCAAATCACATAATATCAGGGAAATGGATCACCTTCCCTTGTTTGTTGAGGAGGGAAATGAACCAGGGCTCTGGGTAGATGATGGGGCTGGGCTTTTGCAGACCCTTATTCATGTCTCCAGTGTGCTTTAAAGCCACTCTCCTCCACCTCTTGACCCAGCGTCACTTTCCCATTTGACAGAGTGCCAACACAAATAGTTTGCACATGAGTTATCAGCCCTTGATTGCCAAACAACCATTTGATACCAGCAACTGGGTGTGCCTGATCTTTGAAGTCTACTCTGAAGTACAAGTTAGTGCCTCATCATTGGTCTCAGGAAATCAGTCTTCCATCATCGCATTTTTACATCCTCCGAGCAGAAGCTGCTTTCGGCCCATCACCTTATCTGTGCATTTCTTCCCTCTGTCCACTCAGCACCGTCATTCTGCCACCAGCCACAGCTTGCTAACATGAAGGCAAATCCTTTCTAGCTTTCCTTTTTGACTTCTGATTCCCTCCCGAGGAGCACAACAGAATGCCAACTGGATCCTTCTCCGTCCTTTAAAGAACTAAAACCCACTTGTGATCACCAATCCATAAACACAGAAATCGTGCTGGGCCTGAAGTCCTCAGCACTGCCTCAGCACCTCAGGGGCCTCATCACACTTTTGACTTTCTAGTTTAAAGCAGCCTGTGTTTTTCAAACACAATCCTGTTAAATTCTCAGTACATGAGCATTATTTACACTTCTTTGATATAATACATTTTGGCTAATTTTGAGTTATGATGTATATTGCTAGACTGGAACTTAATGATCATTTATTTCAAAGTTCATCTATAAAGTAATCTGAGTAACCAATCATTGACTTGTCACAGGCTTCTGCTTAAAAACATACACACATAAAAAATAAAAAAAAAAAAGTTAGAGTCCCTGCAATGCAGATGCCTGAATGCAAACACATAGAATCTAATCTAATAGACCAGGGGCACTTTGGCAAAAGGCCTTGAATGTTTAAAACACTATAATGAATTCCTGTCAGTCTCACTTGTGCAGCTCAACACTGGCCTGTATCATCGATTCCACATTCTCATCAGTGTTCTCCACAGTAAAACAGATGCCTTGCAAGCAAGAAGGCAGATGCTGCGCTCAGGTCAGCAAACAGAACAGAATGGAGTACCTGCTCCGTTGGTCATGAATCCTCGGCCATGGGGACAGAGTTTCTTGTAAGCCACAGTGCCCTCGAAAGGGCAGATCTCACAGTGTGGCCCCCAGCCTCTTCCACCATCACAGCAGCACTCAGACTTGGTGACAGGATTCCTGTTGCTCGAGCCAATCTGACACATGTTTTGCAGCACCTCTGTGAAGCAGTACCCTTCCCGGTTGTCTGGAGGAGACAGTCCGTGGCAAAGAGGACGTCAGAAAATGTTGTGAGTGCCACGGGTATTAGGAATTTGGTCAAGATATAAAAACTGAAAGGATTTAACACTTTACCCTGGGTGAGAAGGAGCGAGAAGGGAAAGCTGGAAACAGCAGGAAGAGAGAAAGGAGGCCGTCTGAGGGGAACAAGATAGGAAATTCGTGAGTTGGCAGGAAGGCATCGGTGTGGATCAGCTTATAACTCTACGCGCTTCACACGGTCATGACAGCCATGCTACAGAAGGAGGGCGTATGGAAGTGATCCTGCTCACAAAGGGCTTAAAAAGGCAGCCAAGAAAGAAATTCCAAGCAAGCGATTCAGTGATGGATTAGCCAAAGAACTTAGCTGCAGGACAGTCCTGAGCCCAACTAAGTCAACCCTCAAGAATCACTATTTTCGGCTCTTCCACAACTTTTGACGTGTTCTCTTATTTCAAACCAGAGGCATTGTTTCTGAGTATCCCAGCATGAAGTGATGTAAGGATGCGGTCAGCTTCTGGCACTCACCCAGGCACTCGTCCTGCGCGGGGCTAGCTGTGAACCCATCGTTGCACTCGCAGGCGTAGCTCCCTCGAGTGTTGAGGCAACGCCCATTCTCACAGATCCCAGGCTTGGTCTGACATTCGTTCTCATCTGTGTAGACAGAGAACAGGAGTCAGCTGACTATTTGATAGAAATGCATCATTCACGCCCCCCCTTCCTTCCCTCTCTCTTTATCTCAATTTGCTTTGCAATTAGGTAATTATTCAGTTCACATGCTTAAAAAGTCAGATTCATGAAAGGTTATTCAGCAAAAGTCTCCCTTTCCTCAACCACCAAATGTCCCCCTGGGAGGCAACCAATGTTGCATCAGTTTCTGCCGTGCCCCCCTAGAGATGGATCATGTACATAAATGCAAGTATATACGTGTTTATGTGTGTCCCCCTCTGCTCCTGTAAGGCATCCTTGAGAATACTTTTGATATGCTTAAATGTAGATGGCAGCATTTAGGCTCACTTACATTTTTCATTTAACAAAACTAAAATCTTTCTGCATGAGTATATAAAGAGAACTCCAAAAAGATAATTAACACCCAGGAAGGGGTACTGGAGGTTGATTGTAAGTTTAAAGAGATATGGTATTACCTCATCCCAATAATACCAGTAAGTTGTCAGTGTTGATCCAGGAGCACTTGTCTAAACTAATATTTAGATTCAATGTAGCTTATTTATAATACTTCATTATTATTATTATTACTAAAAATGTTTGAGACAGTCTCCCTGTGGCTGACCTGGAACTCCCTGTATAGATCAGGTTGGCCTTGATGTCATGGAGATCCACCTGCCTCTGGCTCCTGAGTGCTGGGATTAAAGGTATATACCACCACACCTGGCTTCAACAATATTATTAAGAAATAAAAAAACCCCACAATTTAACACCCCAAAGTTAAAACTATTAAAGTAGCTGGGGTTTCTTTGAATTATCTGATGATTATTTAGAAACATCATGAAGCAAGCTCCCCATCACCTGAGAATGGCTGAGAGTCCCTGGCACAGAGATCTTTCTGGGAGTTGCAGAGAGCGGGGAGGTGACAGCCAGAGCTATGTAAAAACTGGTTAAAAACCCCAACACCCAGCCAAACCTGGTGATGCAGGCCTATATTCCCAGCTGCACAGAAGGCTGAGGCAGGAAGATTGCAAATTCAAGCCATGCCTGGGCTAAAGAGTGAGTTCAAGGTCAGGGCTGGGCAAGTTCATGAAACCCTGTCTCAAAATAAAAAAATGAAGAAAAAGCCCTGCTATATTCTACTTGCTGTCATGTGTGAAGCCCCAGGTTCAACCCCCAGAACTGAAACAAATAAACAAAACCAAACGACAACAAAAACCCCACTGCCCAAGCTGCCCTCAGATCAAGCGACCCCTCCCACTCCAGTGAGCCTGAGACCCACAGTCAGGGGGAATCCAGTGTGAGACCATTAATCCACATGCTTTTTTTTTTCTGTGTTTTCAATGTCTGCTCTTTAAACTACCACTTAATTTTGTATCTTAGAGAATGAAGGGATGATGGAAAACAATTTTCTTGAATGACAACACAGAATATACCTTTTGATGTCATTTACTTCTAAAAGTACATGTGAGAACTTTCTAGTAATTTCCTCCTATATTTATTGTCTCAAGCAAAGATCAAAAACCCTTTTCTGCAGGGTAAGATGGTAAATATTTTAGGCTTCTTTAGCCCTGTAGTCTCTGCTGCTGTGGCTATTCAATTGCCTTTGTGGCTTGAAGCAGTCACAGTGACATGCAAATGAATTGTTCAAACTATGTTTTAATAAAACTTTATTCACAAAAGAGGTGGCAGGCTGGAGGGCTGGAGTTGGTCTGGGACTGTGGTTTGCCACTCCCTGATCTAGAGTTGTGGTTCTCAGTGCTAGATCCACATTAGAGCCACTCAAGGTAAGAGCAGATTTCCTGACGTTAGAGCCCACTGGTATAGAGATAGTCCTGGTTTAGGGGAACCTGGCACAGGGCATTAGTAACACAGCTAAGTCAACAGAGACTTGACTGCGATGTGGTGGTAGGGGCTGTCTCCCAGATTGACAAGGGCACAGAAAAGAAAGGATCCGTTCAGTTGGTGTTCCAATCATGGCAGCAACATAGGCTAAGAAAGTGGTCAAAGCCAGCCCAGAAGAGAGTATGGCAACACTCAGGAGTCAAGAAAAACCGGGAGGTGAGGCTCCTCCATAGTAAGCTGTGACATTAGGCAAGAGGGAAGGGACACAACGCCACTAGACTCAGAGCCCTGGTCGGTTCTGTCCACCCTCACTGTAGTAGGTGTTCCAATCATGGCAGCAACATAGGCTAAGAAAGTGGTCAAAGCCGGCCCAGAAGAGAGTATGGCAACACTCAGGAGTCAAGAAAAACCGGGAGGTGAGGCTCCTCCATAGTAAGCTGTGACATTAGGCAAGAGGGAAGGGACACAACGCCACTAGACTCAGAGCCCTGGTCGGTTCTGTCCACCCTCACTGTAGACTAATACTGAGCTCTTTGTACAGAGACATGCTTACCTACACAGCCCTCTCCATCAGGTCTGCGCTGGAACCCAGGTCCACAGATGCACATGTAGGTGCCGATGAGGTTCTTGCATTCCATTTGCTTTTCAGTACAGTCATGTTTTCCCTCCTCACACTCATCCTCATCTGGAAAGGGCGTAGAATCACAATTTACAAGAGCAGTCGCATTAAATACTTGCCCTACTAAATACTTGCCCTTTAAACACAAAACAGTCATCTTTGTTATTTCAGTGTTGAGCTCATTTCCTTCTGTATTCATTAGGCACCAACCTAGGATATGTTAGAATAATCACTGTAGAATAAAAGCTTTGGTTTTATGCTTTGAGGAAAAGACAAGCGTTTGTAAGCGCCTTACTGTGGTTCTTCCCTGCTTTGCTGTCTTCTCTTTGGGTCGGTGCTGCTCACTCTACTTGCACCGAAATTTCCTCCTTCCTTCCTTCCTCCCTCCCTCCCTCCTCCCTTCCTTCCTCCCCCCCCCCCCCAGCTTCTTTCTTTTTTCTTCCTTGTTCATGTTCTAAGCTGAGAAATTTGGACTCTATCCTTATGTGGTCAGGACCTCTCTGCCAGGATACCTTCTATCCTCAAAACTGGATTTTAGCCACTTGAGAGACCTGGCGTCTGCTCACTGAAGACCTTAGGAAGAACACGCTGGAGTTTTCAAGACTAACCTTGTGATTACCCACACCTGACAAACTCTATTTCAGTGCTTTGGAAATGGCCAAACTGCCTGTGTTTAGCAAGACTTTTCAATGGAAATGCTTAAGTAACACAGATTCTACCCTAAGATGTAGTATCGTTTTCTTCCCTTGTAGTCTCAGAGCCGCCCCCCGCCCCGTTGTATTCTCAGAGCATTTTGTATATACAACCCTCGTAGTCTTTATTACACCGTGATTATTTGTCTCTCTTTGTCCTTTGTCTCAGACTCTGCATACTGTGCTCTGAGAATGGTGGAAATCTTTTTCTTTCTTTCTTTCTTTCTTTCTTTCTTTCTTTCTTTCTTTCTTTCTTTCTTTCTTTCTTTCTTTCTTTTTCTTTTTTGTCTTTTTGAGACAGGGTCTCCTGTAGCCCCAGGCTGTCCTGGATAGAACTCACCATGTAGACCAGGATGGCCTCGAACTCACAAAGATCCACCTGCCTCTGTCTCCCAAGTGCTGGGATTAAAGGTGTGTGCCACCACGCCCGGCTGGAAATAGCTTTTATATAGAAAATGCCTTACACTTTACAGAATGACTGGTTTATCTTAGGTACACAATGCACAAAAGACTAACAAAAGATCTGCAGCCTCACTCAGCTTGACTGACAACCCCTAAATTGTCTATGGGTTATAAGTGTTCCCTCAGTTCCCAGCCTTCCCCTACTAAGGGATGCTTTAGAGAGACCCCTAGCATCACACCAGAGTCAAAGCTTTCTGGATTGATTGAGCACTAACAGACCTCTCACCTTTGCACATCCTCCTGTCTTCTCGAAGAACGTATCCAGCAGGACATTTACATTCATAGGACCCATAAGTGTTTACACATCGGAAGGCACAGAGCAGAGGATTCTGGGCACATTCATTTATATCTGCAGAAGAGAGTTTAAAAAAAAACAGCAAAAAGAAAAAAAAATGTACTTTTTTTAAAAGCTGAAAGACTTCCTTATCATAAACATGAAAGGACCAAGTAGTCTCAGATTTCTAGAAAATTATAAATAGTTATTTTATTCCTGGTATAAATAGGGTGGCAACATGTTCTGGCTCTCCCAGAACAGCCCCAAAGTTTACTGTCTTGGTGTAATTATGAATTCAAGTGAATGAGAAACTTTTGAAATTGCAGCTTGAAAGACTCAGGTTGACCAGTTGCCACTTCCTCTGGTACATGGACTGTAGAGCATGTTTGCTTCTTTTAGCAAAAACAATTATGGCCAGAAGATAAGCTGAGCCCTCTCATATGCTCAGCCATTTCCCTTTCCCCAAACATAGATGTTCCTATGAGACAACAGTGATTCTTCTGCCCATACAGAGTGCTCTGGATCACAGTGGACTTAGAGAAATGCATTTTGCACAAATACCCAGGTTCTACCCCTGGTTATGGGGCTTTACCATTAATGGGTAAGTAACTTCTTTAGATTCCATGGTTCAGAACAACAGACTGTATGCTGCAAAAGCAGGAGGGCTAAAACAAGCCACCTCAGTGATCAAGTTGCTTCCCAAGATCAATGATGCATATAGGGTTTAGGCAGCTTCTTTCCTTCTCTATGGCTGCCTGCAGATAACTATAGGATGTCTCTGTGTACAGGTGTTTCTACATATAGAAAAGGAGAGGAAGAAAGAGGAGGGGAAAAATATTGGAATCACCGAAAAAGAAAAGGAAACAGAAAACGAGACAGAAGGCAGTAAATGAGACGGGAGCTGTATTGAAATGTAAGCGCTCTGGTACAGTGTAATGCCTTCTGTGAGGATCCTATAACATTCTTTGATACTTCCTGGAGGAACAAGGGTACACAGAGAAGAAGCAATGGAACAGACCACTAGGCCCAGATGTTCTTTATTCCATGTACCCTGAATGGTATTTAATATTAAGAACAATAATCAACCAACTGCTCTCATAATCAGTATAAGTAACCAACTCTTTTGGTTTAAGATGCTTACCTTCACATGTCATCATTGGACCAGGCTCAAATCCCTCCTCACAGGTACATTCAAAACCTCCAATCACATTCTTGCAGGTTCCATTTCCACAAGGATTGCCCACAGAACATTCATCAGTATCTGCAAGTGACCGGGAGTATATCCAGAACTGGGTGAGTTGAGATACAATGGACTTGGGCCCAGAAATTCCTTTCATCCCACTGGAGTTCTTTGATCTGTTCTGTCTTGTTCCATTCTCCTCCTATTCTTGTGAAGAAGGAATGTGTACACCTTCTGGTCACAGGTTTATAAGCTAAGGTTTGACTTGTACAATGGAAAAGACAGTGAGTGTACCCGAACTTCTAGCCCTTATATTGCCCTGCCACATGGTTTCCTTCAGCCTCTCCTTATGAAGAAGTCTACCTTTCACTGGGAAGAGATGCTCTGATGGTTAAAATAAGGTTCCTGTATGCAGCCAGGGGTTTCTGCATGTTTGAAGACAGAAATATATCTTCAATTGTCCCTACATTACATCACTGTACAAGAAGGCTTACCCACGATGGGCTCCTGCCAGATATAAAATAGAAGACTAAATTTACGCAAAATAAGAGACCAAAGGTTGAACAGAATTAATATACTGGATAAAAACCAACTTTTGAGCAGATTTTGTTGATTCTGTTAAAGCCAGATGGTTTACAATGAGCAAAAGAGAGGCTGGAAAAAATATGTTTAGGGCATAACCTTCATAAATGAATGTGGAGAGAGAACACATCTAAAAAGAAGACCCTGAAAAATATAGATGGTTCCTAAGCCATCTACCTGGAACACGTTCTATTCTTATTTCTGACACAAATATTCTCCTTTAAGGAGAATATTTTTCCTTGGGGGAAAAACTTTTTTTAAAGAATAACGTTGTTACTGTAGCTATCTAAAGTTCAGAAGAATAGTAGGCTATTGTCAAGAATTACCACTCCTAGGTAAGGAGGTTCATTTAGCATTAACTGAAGATTTCAAAACATTAACACTGCTGAAAATCTGTGTCTGTTTTGCTATTCAATCTCACTTTGCAGCCAAGAATACTGTATCTCTTCCGGTTTAATAATATTTTAAACATAACAATGTCATTACATTTTAGAGCTTCCAGGGTAATTAGAAATAAGGCAGCTCATTAGCATAATAGCATACCCGAGGTCCAGAGAGGGTAAGAACATACTAATGCTGCCACAGGCTTAGCTGCTACTGCAGTCCTCAGACCCCGAATCCTTGTATGCTTTTTAATTTGCACAGACAGACCTTCAGCATTTATACAACACTTTATTCATATCACATCAAAATTGTTTTGAAATTTTTTTGAACATAATACTTGAGTTTAAATTATCCTTAGTGTGACTAAGAGTCAAAGGTCCATGTTGGAGTCATTCTTAGACATTTTAACGAAAAGAGTAAAACAAGAACAACCTGCATAGTGTATACGGCCTTTCATACTATAGCTATACACAATGCATACAAATTTTTGTATTTTACATACCCAAAGAATAAATTATGATCACTAAGGATATGTTTTTAAGTTGCACAGAGATTTCTGTTACGGCATTGTATTTTTCAGTATCTCTTAGGATATGCCTGGTAGCTGTTTTCTACATTAGACTGTAAGGTTCATGAGAGGAAGGACCCTCTTTGCCTGGTTTTCTGCAATAACATGGCACCATGGAACCTAGCACAAGGTGGGGCCTCATCCAGTATTCTAAATGAAGGATTCATGAATGGAGGGACAAGGTTTCAATTCCCATCTTGGTTGTGAGATTTCCTTGAGTAAATGCTGGGTAACTCAGCTTCTGTTATATAAAATCCCAGTGGAAGTAGATGACTTACTACTCACCCACACATTCATTCCCTTCTAGAATGTAACCAAAGGGGCACTCGCAGCGGTAGGAGCCATCTGTGTTGATGCACTGTCCGTGTTTGCAAACATCCGGTTCTTTGCATTCATCCATATCTTAAGTGGAGACAGAAAAACAAAAAAACCCAACAAAAACCTAGTAACACAAAGATAAACTATAGTCCTTTCACTGTTTAATCTGTGAATATCTAATATTACAATACAATTAGCATCTAAGCGAATAACAAAAAAGAGGGAATTTTCCCTTCCAGATAGACGTGGAGAAATAAGACCTGGAAGAAAGACAGAAAAGAGGAGCTGAAGCCCAGCACGGGCTACTCACCAACGGCTGAGTCATCGGGCCCCACGATGATCCCGCTTCCATAGGGGCAGATCTGGCGGAAAGCCTCTGTGGTGGAGATGTATACCCGTTAGTGGGAAGACCTGGGTCAATCACAGCCTCCCCCCTCCTGCACTGTGTAGCTGTGGCCACATGCTACACATAGTGAGAGATACGAACACTCCCAGAAACAAGGAGATGTTACCAAGACTCTCAAAGATGTGCCTGTCCTTCTGATGTCCCTGATTTCTAACACAACCAAAAAGGAAAACAGCTGCCTTGATCCCGAGTTAAAGTAAGTTTTAATGAACATTCTAATTTGACTTAAAATTCAGTTGTCTTGCTGGCTTTATGGGTGGTCAGTATGTACGATCATACAAAGAGAAACAAGATGCCAGACTTACCGTCTGGCTCAGTGGGGCACAGCTCACAGGGATCTCCCCAGCCTTCTCCCTTCAAGGCACAGCAGCACTCCTGCTTGGAGTGGTTTCTGGATTTGGGTGATGAGCACTTTCCTCCTTCAAACTTGGCGTAACAGTAGCTCATTCGCAAATCTGCAGCATAAATCCACAATACACTTAGGTTCTTTTCCTACTGAGTCTTCATTGCACAATAGTGGGTAGGGAGCAACCTACCACATCGAACGTGTTCTCTCATTAACCACAGCAATACTCCTTAGATGAATAGCAACTCAGCCAAGACAGCTAAAGTCACAGGTAACTGGCAGTAAGATCTGATGAACAAGTTCATGTTGCTCTACTGTTACTTCTCTGTTTGCCCAATATTTCAAAATACCTTGATATGACTAATGACTTATAACCCTGTCAGGTTTAACTGACTTCCATGAATGACTTCAGGACTGGAGCATTCACAGATAGAATCTCATCCAGAAGAGCCCTTCATGACAGCTTTTCCTGCTTGGGTTCCGTACAACTTTCAACAAGTGTACTAAGGCAGGAGAGGTTCTAATAGTCTGTGCCCCATAAGCCTGGAATAAAAATAAAACCCTGGATCATAGCCTAGAGTCAATGAAGATGGGGAAAGTTTACATACTGGCAAGACTGTACCACCAGGGGCAGTTAATGGAGCATGGGATTGTTGGGTACAAAATGCAAATGGGATCTTCTGCAGGATTATACATGCATGCACACAGAGCTATATCAACATCGAAATTTCAACCATGGAGTTTGTTCAGTTCAATAGAAAGGGGAAGGAAAAAAGGAAAACAGGGCTATGGGTAGATGGGAGGAAAACAGTCTTTCTTTCAAAGGATGTATGTATATCTTTGTTCTCATTATTGCTGGGTGATTCCAAGGAAGACGGGATCTCTTTCATATAAAACTGCAATATTGCTTGACATAATTTTTGGAAGTTAGCTTGTCTATTTCTTATAGAACAGATTGGGTTGCTCTAAGAAATGAGCTCATCTAGGTGTCTGGAATATATTTTCTTTCACCTGATTTCCAAAGCCTTGCACAACTTCCCTTTCTTTACCCGAAGACTGAAACCTCCAGGTTTAAGGAGATGCTTTCCTATCCATCCTGTAACCACCCTTTTCCCTTGGTCCTGACCACCTCGGACTTCTAGTCCTCCTCCTCCTCCATCATCAAAGAAGCAGTGCATAAGAAAAAGATGCCAAGGGTCACAGAAGAAAAGATTTCATGAATTACCTTAAACCCCCACCCCCACTCCTTCAGCTCTGGAAGTCAAATTCAGTTGCCTTCACAATGGAACTTGCCCAGCTCTTCCTGGCTAGCAAGTCTTTTGGAAACAGTTTCTCAGTCTCCCCTCCATTCTCCACCTATGGTTGCTGGTTCTTAGCAGGCACCTTTCGGTGGGCCACCCTTCAGAAGACAAGAGCAATGGAAGTCCATCCTTGCCCTGCAGTATGTCTGTCCCTGAAATATTTACCTTGTCGAAAAATGTCAAGATTTAACTAGTCTTCATTTCTTGGAGGAAACCTTTGGATTTCTTTTATTCAAGTTCTCTGTCACATCAGTTGTTTTGTATTCATTAGTGTTATTTTTATTATTTATTCCTGCAACTGTTCTAAGATGTATCAACAGCTATTCATAAGAATGTCTCAACAAACATATTAAAACTTAATTCTAGGGGTTAGAGAGATGTCTTAGTGTTGACAAGTGCTTGCTGTGCAAGCATGAGCACCTGGGTTCAAATCCTCAGCACCCACATAGAGTAGCCGGGTGTGGCTGAGCACATCTGTAACCCCAGCAGTGCGGGGGGCGGGGGGCGTTGTTGGCTGGCAGCATAACTCCAAGTTAGTGAGACTCTGACTTAAGGGGATAAGGTAGGGAGTAGTAAGAGCTCCTCTGACCTCCATACACTCACGCACAGGCATGCATACTCACACACTCATGAGCACGTACACACACACACACACACCCAAGAACACACAAAAAGAAAAACTGAACCACATACTTTGTCTTCCACTTACGGCAGTCTTTTAATCCTAGATCCACTCATGTGGTGGCACATGCCTTTAATCCCAGCACTCGGGAGGCAGAGGCAGGTGGATCTCTGTGAGTTCAAGGCCACCCTGGTCTACATAGTGAGTTCCAGGACAGTGGGGGCTACAGGGAGACCCTGTCTCAAAAAGATCAAAAAAAAAGAAAAATCTTTTTTCATTCTGTTTTTTAACTGTTGACTTGCTCTAGACCCAGCTCCATCTTCCCCACACTGCTCCACTCTATCCTAAAAGAAAAAAATAGCTTTGATTCAGACAGACTCAAATGTGTAGTTTCAAGTCACTCCAAATGACAATCCCCTAAACTCTGTGAGTAGGAAGGGCTCCTTCTCACTGTGGTTCAGAGCCAGGACCTGTCCCCGTGATTACCAAGGCATTTGCTGCTGGAAAACCAAAACCAGTGGTTTTGTGGAATTTCTTCTGTTATAGCTAATAGAGGCCAGGCTCCTAATTCGTCATCTTATAAGGAAAATCAGGCTTTAATTTCTGGGTTCCAACGAAATCTGCACTCAGTAAGAGATTTACTTTTACAAAGAATGATTCTCCTGGGTGAGTCCTGCGTTAGGAAACAGCGCTGTGCTCACGGGCACACTTCAGCCAGAGCTCACTAGGATGCCTGTTTACCAGTCCATCTGCTCACAGCCCTTTCTGACCTCTGAAATTTCTTCGGAACTACGAAAGTCACTCTCTCTGCCTGCATTCCTCAGTTCTGGCTCTCTGTTCTAGGGCTGAGCATGTGGCAGGGCTTCTCGCAGCAGCTGGGCTGGTTCTTCCTGTAATGTCTGCTTGCTCTGTGACAGGCCAGTGCAAATTGAATTAATGGCCTTGGAGTTTCCTCTGGCCTGCCACATCGGCAGACTCACACCTGGCTTCTCACTGCTTTCTTTCCAAGTGCAGGCCAAGCCAAAGGCACACAAACAAGGGAGTAGGAATCAGAAGCTATCTGGGCTGGTCTGTACCACATAGATGGACTTTAATCACCTACCCTGAAATCAGTGTGGTCTTCTCATAGTTTGTAACTCTTGTCTTTGTACCTCTAAAATGACTAAGTGAAAAGTAAAAAGTTGGCTAGACAGTGTAACCATCACAAGAGTTTGCAGAGGACTCAGAAATTAATAAACCTTTGTCATACATGCATTAAGATCAATTGGGTAGGTGTTAGTGTGGTTTGAATGAGCAACATGGATTCCTAAAACAATAAATGGCTTGCTTTGAGGTGAAAGTTGGCAGGCCTAGGATCCCAAACCCAAATTTTAGAACCTTAAATTATATTCAATACTTATTATTTGGTAATATGAAACACACACACACACACACACACACAGACACACACACACACACACACAC